CTCCGCCTCCTCCTCCCCGGCGGGAGTGCTGTTCACACGTCACTCCAACCCTAATGTTAACGGTACCATAAAACTAACCCACCTAAACTTACCCCTGACCTTCCCCTGTCATCTAGCCAAGGCCACCTCTAATACGGAGGGTCCATTTTTATGTGCTTAGAATATGTTTAGATCCTGTCACCATGAGGCCACTTCGTTATCGACTTTGAGGTACAGACCTTTTCGTCGTCGTATGAGGTGCGTTTACGGGATGCAGCTGCACTGACAGGTAGTGGAGGGAAATAACCCAGAGTGTTCGATATGACTGACTAGACAGCACCTCTCGAAAACTACCTATCAGGAGCGAATGCGGAATCGAGTGTAAACAAACGTGTTTGGGAAAGTTGGCGGCCATGTTAAGGCTCGCTGGTGGAACAAATCAGTAGGATCTCAGAATAACCTAAAATCCCTGCCGGTATAACTGTTTGCAAAGGGGTAGTCTTTAGTCTGTATGGGCTTACTGGAACAGTTGTGAGAGGTTCACTTAGCGTGTTAGTGTGCGACTGATCGGGTATCTATGCCGGTGAGCTAAAACACGAAGGTACTACTTCAAATCGCGCCATCACCTTAGCCGAACCATCTCTGGTTGGACGTCGCTGGTCGCTGAATCAGGCGAGTGCAGTGTCGAAATAGCCAACTTGCTAGCATCCACCCCCACCCTGTAAACCTGCTTCCAATCCAATACCTGCAGGATGATGGTCACAGACGGAGTGCCAGAGCACGAGAAAGTCCGTGGTTTGAATTGCCCCCTCGGCGTTTGTTTTCAGACTGGTCAAACTTCGAAACCTACAATCGTGATGAACATTGTAAATCGATTGGGAGCTGTGTCTAAATCCTCACACCTCCCTATCCACTAGGAGTTGTGTACTGATTTAGAGCCCAATGAATTGAGCTGTGTTGTTTGAATATAGTGATCACTTTGGGCGCGGATCCGGGATCGAGATGGTATAACTGCGTGTCGGTAAAAATAGCTGGTGCTCGTCTACCCCCTTCCCGCAGTTCTCGCCGTTTGCCGTGACGCTTATCCCACCCCACATCGGCACCTTGCACGGCCCTCTCCTGCATGCGTCCCCAGTGCTGCGATCCCCGTCGGTTGTTGGCGTCGCCTCCCTATCTGAACGGATCATCCCTTGGGTGAACATTATCTCTCCCTGTACCATTTGCTTTTTTCCTATAATACCAACCTCCTTCCCAGTATATAAGTTGTACCTGTTCATCTCTTCTTTCTCCTTGCTTGGTGACAGTGACGTGTATCTAACTACCCTGTTGAGATCGTTCTGCGTCTTATTCCGTAGCCGTACCTGTTAGAGGTTGGGGAGTAGGGTTAGGGTGGGGCTTGTCTGCTGCAGGTACGACTACGAAATAAGATCCGACCGTTTTCTCCAGTGCTTCAATCTATCCCGAGTGTGCCACTACATTGGCACCACCCAACGTTTACAAAACTCGGCCACCCTAATCGTCTAGGTAGCAGCGATGCACTACTCACACACTAGCTCGGACCTCAGCAAAGACCGAAAATCCTTGTACTTCGCCGGTCGGAACAGAGCTAGCGTCGCGCGAAGTCCACGCTAGAATCCCCCTATTGCGACTGAAATACGCTCGCAGACGAATACAGCTCCCGAAAGGACCGCCAACTAACGTTGGGATACGTCCTTGCATTCTGGCCCCATTTTCAGCAAGTGTCAGCCTCACTAGATAAGGGGGTAAGTCGGATTTGTACGGCTCTCCCCAACCGGGACATGGGAATAGGAACGTCCTGCCCATAATTCCGTAAAAGACAAAATATCCTCGCACCGTAACCCCAAGAATAACCCTAATGCAAGACTAAACCATTGCCCTGATCTTAACCCGAACCCCACCCTAGACTTTAACTCGGCAGCCAACACTAGTCATTGCCTTAGCCATACATTTGACCCTGACTTACCTTATCGCTAGCTTTGAATCTAGCCTTAAACCCTAATATCACTGGCAGTTGGCTCCGAGTCATCCGCACTGCCCTGCCTGGGGGGATGACAAGTCAGTCCTGCCAACGGTAGTTCCGCCTTTGGCTGAATCGAGTCAGTCGCCTGAAGACTACCCCTCGACAACTCTGATTATATCCGCAGCCACGGTTTCAGAAGTCAGTTTTATAAAAAGAGGTAAAATCAGTATTGAAAAGTTATGATCACAAGTCTGTCTGGCGCGTTTATAGTGCGCAGAAGGGGGGGGGGACTTTGGTTGAGTAGGTTAAGAAAATCTGGATCTGATGGCACGTAAAGCCTGTCCCAGTACTCAGTTCAAATAGGGTCGCCAAACGACCTTGCTTGGCCGGTCGGTGCCGGTGTCTTCAACATCGGTCTTCTGTTGCGTAGGCCTCGGAGAGTTCGACCGGCCGCCAGTAGCCGGTCTTACAGGTGTCGACGTCAATTCCGCGTCAATAAAAGCACTAGTTGTTGGGGAAAATGGAAGTCCGGAGGTTTGAGGGGGCCATATTTGGCGCAGAGGTGGAATGCTCATACCAGGAGAAAGTGCCATAGAGGAGGAACACGGAGGAATGGAGGAGCCCGTCATCGGAGTAGTGACTGTGGGACCAGTGTGATACCCGCTGTCGCAGAGGGTGTGGGCGGTGGCTTTGAGAGTCGGTGTTGCGACATCTGAACGCACCGGAGAGAAGGCAGAGTGGACCGAAGCCCTAAAGTGTGGCTTATATGGTCGCGGGGGAGGAGGAGGGGGAAGGTGGGGAACAGGGCCGGTTGGGGGAAAGTTGACTGGCTGGTTTTCCTTTCCTGTTGGTTGGGACGGTGCAGGAGGTCGTCGCGATTCACTTCTGGTCCCCTGTCCTTCTGGCGGCTGGCTGGCGAGTTTCGAGCCAATCTTCTGCATTTCGGCCTTTAACTCTGGTTGTTGCTGGACCACCTCGTAGAGGCCCTGCAGGACGCCAAGACAGTTGGTCAGGATGTCCGCCTTCTCAACGCGCCGAAACTTTTCTGGCTGTGCGGGACAGGAAAGCAAACAGGTGGATTTTAAGATTACGTCATATCAAGTCGTTGATGGTCAAACCACATCAGCGTGGACATCACTTACGTCTTGGCCGACAAGTGACACCGCGAGGTTGTGAAGAGCATTCATTTTGTCGGAAATGCAAGCACGTCTCCGGCGTTCCATCCGTTGCTTTTTGATCTAAAGTGAAAAGAGGACGGAACGGAACGCTATGAGTACTGTTCGCGATATTAGAGGGAAAAAGGGAGTTGTAGAGGTCCAGAATACACTTACGCGTCTGTTGCTGTCGCGTTCTTCTCGGGATTGAACAACTCTTTTTGCAGGTCGAGGCTTAATTGACTCCCGAGCTTGCGTGAAGTTGCTGTCAGGAGATACAGTGAAGGTAGCCGAGGTAGACGTCGGCGAGGCACATACTGGAGCGGGAACACGTTCCATTGCGCACGTGCCAGTCGGAGAGCGATGAGCGAGGCGTCCAGCACGTGGATTATATACGCAAGGCCGACCGAGAAGACTGATTGGCTGACAGTCCCAACACCTATCTGCCAATCAGCCGCATGTGCGTTACCATTTCTCACCCACCCTCACTTGCAATAACGACCAATAGGAAGAACGGATCTGAAAAAAATCTGCAGATATGCTGCTGTGCGGCGAGCGAATGCTGAGGAACGATGGTTTCTTCCATTGCCTCTGGGCCAAACTGTTGATTGACTTTTTTTGCCGCACAAGGAAGCCGGAAAGCTCTGTGGTGCACTCTGATTAGAATCGTTTGGTTGCCTATGAACGGAGAAACGGAGCTCGCGTGATTTTTACTTCGAATGAGCTATGAGAAGAGCCACCCATCTTACATTTACGAACCAGACAAGTGGAGAACAACTTCCGAACTGGACCTATAAAGCTTCATTCTGAATGATTCACTCTGAATTAGCGCATTAATATCTAAGGAAATAGAAAAACTGCCATTCCGGAGCTGAAGTACCTACCACGAAGCACACGGGGCAGCATTGATAATGCTATTCAGCGGCAGAATATCGCCGAGACACGTGCCTGCGATTTTAGCTAGAACCTAGGCCGTCAGTATGGTAAATCACGCAACGTGAGTGTAATTACTGCATCATCGTATTCCGTCCTTTTTTAACTACGACCTAGGTCCCGTATTGTCCACTTCTGTCCATCAGATATGCGATTATTTGTTCTGTCGAACCGGTAGGAAAATTTCGTGTCTGCAAAAACTTGACCTTTGGAATCCTAGCAAAAATTACGTTCGGGAATGGCTACTTCTTGTTTATTTTCTATCAGCAGTCAGTCCTGCTTGATAGCGGGTTATTCCGAACAGTTGGTTAGCTAACATTTGGGCTAAATGCTCTTCGGACCCACCGATGGACGAAAATTGGAATTTTCATTTTGTCGTGGAGCTCCGGCCCGCAACCGTCACAGACGATCCCAAGACAACGAGCAAAAGAAGTAGCCTAAGAATGCTACCGAGGTGGACAAGGGAGACTGTAATAGTCCTTTTCATTTGATCTACACTTGCCAATCCGCAGTATCCCAAAGCGGGCTTCGAGTTTCTTCTGGTTGAGGACGAAAAGTTGGCCTGAACTGGCCAACTAACCGCGGCCCCGGAGGCATGTCGTCTCCGGCCAACAACAGACTTGCTTTGCACCAGCCTCACCGTCCTCGGGATTCAAACTTATAGCTGGCCTCAGGCCTCCCCTAATGCGGTTTGGAACAGTGATATGGCGATCTCCGGTTCCGCGACACCTAACCAACCGGACGACCAAAATCTGCATAGGAATTCGGTTGATCAGTAAGAATTTAAATCCCCCTGACAATTGGGGCTCCGGGTCCAGACAGGACTTGCACCTGAAACACTGAAGCCGGGCTCGAATCGCAAGGTCATCTCGGTTGACGTGTGGTGGACTGACGACGGCGCTTGCTTGTTTATCCGACCGCGTCTTTACATATTCATGAGACTTGATCAGTACGTCGGATGTACCCAGTGTCGTAAATTGTATGGGCTAATTTTTCAAAAGTAGACGAGCTGATATAGGATTATGCCCAGTATTAATATTCCTCTGGTGTTTCCACCCCAGGACTGGGACTCTGAAAATCTGATCGATGCCCAGTGGCAGCGGGGGTTCTAGACTGCCAAAGACATGCATTAACAGTGCATGCGAAGAAGTGACTACTGTTTTATCCTGAACACTTTAGAATACAGTACTGCACGTGGTAATTTGCCGCACTGCAGACTCCTGTCCATCTTATGAAGGCCAGCTTCTGCTCTTCGAGAGATAACTGTCCCTGTCTAAGGCTTGTTATACGTAGGTTAACAGCCAGCTGCTAGCCCTGACTCCTTTCAGGACATGCCCACCTGCTAACAATGGACAAGTTTCATTCTGTCCCAACAGGTTTGTCTTTCTCTCTGCTTAAGTAGGAGAATTAACTCGAAACAACGAAGTCAAGCCCATTTAATTCTGACCTTGATAAGACGGTGGAGACTGGTCTGTGACTGGTTCTAAAAGTCTGGAAATTGCTTCTGAATTGAACACACACACACACACACACACACACACACACACA